AAAAATATTCCAGTCACATAAATATCACAATGACAAGCACAGAAAATGCTACCCAACAGCAGTTGATAAAAAAAACTGTAGGGAGGACATCTTAAGTCTGCAGCTGCTGGCAGGCATTGTCTGATTGGTCACGGCAGATCCCCAGTGGGATAGGACGAACAGAAGGTGGGGGCTTATATGAATATTTTGGCTGGGGAGAAAGCAGAGATTCACATTGTAACCAGCAACTTTACAACAGGTCAGCTCAGAGCCTGGCGATTGAGACAGCCTTGTTCTTTTCTGTAATCGCCATTGGGCAGGGTTAAAGACCTGACCCATGGCTTTTCAGGTTCAGCCAAGCATCCCAACCCGGTCAGTCAGGAGGGGGGATGTGGTTTGAGGGGGCCAGGATCCCAAGTGCTGCCCCCCCCCCCCGTGTTCTTTTATGGAAGACACAAATCCAAGCACTGATGCACTTATGGCCCCCGGAAGAGGGGGGGTGTCCCTACTTGGTGCAGACGGCCACAGCATTTGTTTTAGCATGGTGGAGTGAGCTGGGGGCCGTCACAGGTTGTCGACTCGCTTTTATATCTGCCACACTGTAGCTGTACTCAAACAAAATCATTACCGCAATTAGCATTTCTCCTAGCATATGTGTAGGCAAGTCTGGGATGGCCAAACATACACCCTTTTTCAGCAAGAAAAGAGAGAGTGGCCTGCTGTTTTATCACACTCACTCTGATGATTTTGATACAAATCTGCTGTGAAGGCTGGGGTCCCCTTCAAAATGAAACCACTGAAAAAGAATTAGGACCATGGAAATTGACAAGAAATAGTACAAATAAAAATTCGCCCGTCATTGTTTTTTTGTCCGCCCACAGCGGGATACGGAATCACCACAACAGCGTCCCATTTGAAAGAAAGTTATGTCTACAATGCTGTTATACACACACTGCCTTTCAACTGACACTTTACAATCCCCAGATGAAAACAGCTAACACTAAAAAATAAATTTAAGGAGCTATGGTGTTATTTAGAATTTGCAGATTTTTCTGCTTCTTTGAAAAATGTTGTTTAGCTATAAATGTTGCCATCAAAGAGGTTATCAATAAAATGATAATGGTTAAAAAAAAAAGACAAACATTACAGCACTACAAAAAGTATCTTGGTAATGATAATAAGGCCAGGAGTTAAGATAAAAACAGCAATATTTGTAGGGCAGTCATAACAGAATCATCGCATGACAACAACACTTAATATATTACCTTATAGATGTGAGATAAACAACTGGACCCTCAATAATAAGACTCTTAATAGTCTCCTAAACACCAGCTCCAGTTATTCTGACCATGTCAACTATGACAAATACCATGGCAACTGAAGCTTCATGAAATCAAGTCCTGTGAATGTATATGGGCTGTGATTCTGTGTCTTTAAGTCAGATCAACAGTCTCAAATGTGAAATCATACATTTCCATTTCAGATCATTTGAAAATGATTGTATGGCAAATGAGGATGTGTCATCATACTGGGTTCTTTTCTTATTTTTATAAATATAAAACTACCATTGACTGAGTGCTGCTACAATTGTTGATAACATCAGAATGAAATAAGAGTCAAACAGACATTAAATATAATTTAAAAATAACAAACAACAAAATTGCAACAACACTAACAGTGAGCACAAATACTTGATCAAAATTGTACTGCAGCACAAATTAGTATTAAGCTCCTGCCATAGAAATACTACTATCCTCTCAAAAACAGCCTCACAATCCAGTAATACTAATAATCACTTGACAACACAAGCTATGATCTGCCACCGAATTAAAACTACCAAATGCCTCACAAAGCAAAACTGATGCCAGGCCCTGTCAAGGCTGCAAAAGAGTGTACAAAACAACTTAAGGGAAGAGGTTAACTTTTAGTTCCACAGAGACACACAACACTATCAAACATGGCATCAAATTCAACTCTCACGCCAATAATACCACCAGTGGTTAGACTGCATGTTAAGTTTTACGCAGGTATTTTACTTCATTCAATGATTCCTGCAACAAATGTGCATCAATTCACTGACTTAGTTGCAGTGATTTGTTTTTCATTACAGCAATCACACATTACAAACCCTGCAATATATCAATGTTGCCAATATTCACATTTATTTTGATGCCATACAGGGGAATGCAAATGGAAGATGAGAATAATATTAATAAGATCATCCACATTCTGTGTTAATACTTATGTCATCAATAGTATAGTAATCATAGTAACCATTTGAATACGATTCAAGTTATTAAAAGACAACTGTCTGGGAGCAGGAGAAACTATTCATACTATACAGATGTTTATGACTTCATGGGACATTGCAATGCACTTGCAGTAACACTGTACAGTAGCAAAACCTTGTTGAGTTGTGGCAATATTAAAACAGGACAGAAACTTTGCAGTCTGGTGATAGAAGACAGAAGGCTCTTGTATTTGCCAAAGCATTTGACAGGTAGAGAGACTGCACTGACTGAGCTGCTATAGTTTGTCAGGAGCAGGACGAACAGGGGCGATTACGGATATACTGAACAGACTGTGGCTTATTTTAGGCTTTTTACTAACCTATTTTGAGGGTTTGGTGGAATAACTACGGTTCTTTTCAGGCCTGCATCGCCAATGAATCTCAACTCAGATAGTACTTCACACAGCGTTACTTGCATATATCGTGAGCAAGGGACATAAATACAATACTGAACTATACTTTCCGGGTGCATTTGATGTGTCAAAGTAAAATACCTTCTTACAACGCGATGTAAACGGGACATTTTTTTCTGTATTCAAACAAAAGGCCACATTGAAACTTTTAGTGCTACAAGGTGGCTGGTGAAAGCAAATTGAAGTGGGGGGGTCAATGATGGCAGAGATTTATTTTGCTACTTCTAGTGAGCGATCCGTGAGCATACGTTCATGGTAGAAGTAGTTTTGCCTCTTACGCGTGGTTTAATAGCAGCAGTCCGCGTGCTAAAGCAGCCTTCGAGCTGCAGCGTTAGCATTAGCTAACTCCTCGGTAATGAAGGGGTTTCACGTTCACTTTGGTCAATTCAATGTCTTCCACTAACTGGTTTAAGTCTGGAAGTCACAGCGAACCGCTGCCCACCGACCTGTGCTGTGGCTTGAATTAATCTGTTGCAGACGATGAAGCATCCTGGTTAGCTAGCCCATTAGCCATTTAGCTAAGCACACCAACATGCAATAGCTCTAGCTACTAGCCATGTTGCTAACGCGCGCATCATCAGCACTGGTAGCAGAAACGAGCTCCGCTGGGATTTTAGTGCAAAATGAGACACGGTGGCAAGAAGACCTTTAACAAACACCATGGAGGCAGAGACACTGAGTCTCTATAGACCGTTCACACTGGGGTTTGGTGAAGCTGCTTAGCAGTTTGCTAAAGCAACCCCCACAGTGGAGTTAGCAAGCAGGCTAATGCTATCACCATTGTTTTGCTTGGTTAACTAATTCTTTTCACGGAGTGATAAAGTACATCTGCTAAACAACATTTACGCCATTTCGGAAACGTTGATGTGGTTTCTCAGATTAATGTTCAACTGAACCACTTACCTGAAATAAAAACGTACTCCAGCTCGGCTCCATTGCAAGACTTGGGCTAAAATCTGCAGGAAACCTACAAGGAATCTACAACAAAGCAGCCAAACATGGCAGCTACAACTTCCTGTAACCCCCGGGGCTGAACCAAGTCCACAGGACTTTTATCCGCAATACTGGACTTCACGAGAAATGTCACATCAAATGTTTTCTGCTCAGTTTCAAACTCCATGTGCTCTGTGAGAAAAATGATAAATGATTAAAGAATGTTTTCATAAAAAATAACACATGATGATACAAACAGGCAATAAAAAGTTTTACAGTATAACGTTTACATTTCTCAGCTGATTTCAGTGGGATGTTTAAATATGCACCGGTTTATGATCTACAATAAGCACAAATAGTTAAGGCTATAGTTGCGACTAAATAGAGGGGATATAACACTTTTCTTATAAGGAATTTTAAAATGAATGCGTAAAATAAATAAAACAAACAAAGTAAAATAGCGAGGCACTGGTTGTCAGCCTGCAGTAAAATGATTAAGATATAGTCAGACGATTATAAAGGTAGTAGATATTATTATTCTTCATATCTTATAAATACAATAAGATGTCAAATTAGAAAACATATTTTACAGTTTAATAATAATAATAAAATACAATAACATTGTTGTTGTTGTAAATAATATTAACAACACTAGCTTGATTGAAATCTAAGTAGTAAATTATACAATAAAATTGTAAACAGAATAGTGACTAGAACAATAAGGATGCACTATTCAGATTATTTCCCCCAATAATTCAAAATGAATGAACTATATTCTGACCTGTATACACTCTACAGTTCTGACCTGGAGCACAAGAAAAACTGTACTGATGGAGATATAAACTAAACAATTCTTTTCACAAGAAAATGCAAAACTTTGAGATTTTACAGTTTCTAATAACAATGATTTTTTTTTTAACAACATCAGCAATTCAATTAATGTAGCCTGTTGTAATTACATCTAGCTGTGATTATATCATAAATGTTGATACTCTAGGTATGCCTAACTCGACACAAAACGTTTTTTAATCCCAAAAAAAATCTTAAAGGTCCAGCATGTAAGATTTAGGTGAAAGGGATCTATTGGTAGAAATTGAATACAAAAGTAATCCTATTGATGTTTTCACAAGTATATAATCATCTAAATTATATTGATTGTTTTTTTATCTTCCCTACAATGGGCCCTTTATTCTTATTCTTTATGATATAAATATTATTTCCATGTTTTTTTACAGTCGTCCAAACTGGACAAACTAAACACCTTTTGAGTTTTTATGACAACTGAAGACTTCCAAAGATTCTCTGTCATGGTTGGAATGGGAAGGGCGAGGTGAGGGGTATTCAGCTACACATGCAACTTCACCACTAGATGTCACTAAATTCTACACACTGAACCTTTAAACCCTTGAATATACAGTAAAACACATTGAAATCGGTGGAATGTAAATGTAATAGAGCTTTTTATCCAGACAACTGGCAGCTCACCTGTTACCATGTATTTATCAGTCTTACCAAACCCCAAATGGCAGTGAAAGATGTATCGATCAGAATGCTGCATGTGATGCTGCCCTTCAATGAAAGTCGTGAGCTTGTGGTTCCAATGTTGAAAGTCATGTATAATCTCTAAAACAGAAAATGCAAGGTCTAAATGACAAAGGGAAAAGATGAGCCTGTTGAAATATCAATAAGAATTCCACAATACCATCTCTTCATCTAAAACTTCTGTTGCCTCTGCCCTCTGTGAGCAAAAATGTCACAATTTGTGAAGTCAGAGTTTTCAGAAAATTCTGAGATCCAAGGTCGTGAACACCCTAAGAGGTTAAAATTTGTATCGACTCTTCTTGTGAGCAGGGTGACCACGACCCATTTGTATATATATTTCTGAATATTTGAGTGTATATATTTAGTCACTGTTGTGTGATATATTAAGGCAGCCGTCATATTGGTGAGGGAGAGTTTCCTATGAAGACAGGAGGTCTATCCACAATAGACATTATCATATCTGTCTTAATATTTGAAGTAGTTTATTTCGTTTCAAATTTCAATCATGTATTTATGATACAGGAAACTTGATCAAACTAAAATGCAGGTTTTACATTTGAAAGCTTTTTTAAAGGTAGATAGGAACAGTAATTAACTGCTATAATTAATAACATCATTACATCTATAGATACCACTTTTACCATTTTCGTTATAACAACCAGTCAGACAAAGCATAATTATGATGGTCACACAACTGCACCTTGAGCTTGAATTGCACAGTAGATTTTGAGAAGAAGTCCTATTTTCCGCTTGCACTATGGAAGTGCTTAGCAGTGCATCAATTGCAGGGTATTGCGAAAAACATTCTGTTTGTGTGTGTGTGTGTTTAAAGTTTGTCACTTTAATACCAAGAAATACAGAATAATATCAGTGTTTTTTTTCTAATTTAACAATTTACCATTCAAATACTGCGGCAGTGCCAACTCAGTGAAAAGAAGCTCAAGAGGCAATGCAACATTAAAACGTTTGACTTGAGAGCAGTGCCACCACACATGGATGACCAGTGCAGGAACAGAAACAGCATTGTGTTCATCAGTACACACATATTCAAAATTGGTATTTTTAATGAGCATAAAAGACATGGTTTTTTTATATTGTTGTTTTTCAGGAACCTCATTGGTCATTAACTTGTAACCATAATGTACTATGTTCCAGTGCTGTCTATCTTCAGCATGTATTGGACAAATGAGAATTTTGACACAGTAATGTCACTAATGTTAGATTTATTGCACTTGTCCCCTTAGACACGAACTGTACCACATTTCTCAAAAATATGTCCAAAAGTTGCTGAGATAAATAACTATGTAGGCCTACCAATGTCAACTTTAGGAATCGCCAACATAAGTAGAAATATTCCACCATCCCTGGAAATGTAACCATGCTGCCTAGCACAGCTGAAAACTACCCCATTAACCCCTGTCAAGCCCACTGATAAATACATTTATTTAAATCATATAGAGATAGAACAGAAAAATGTAAAACTCAAACAAACTGAAGCCAGACTCAACAAAAACAATACAACACACAATATGCCACTCCTGTCAGCAATGCTACCCCTTCGATAAAAATGGAGCCCTGTCATTTTCCACAGTACCTCTGTGCTGACACATTGAAACAGCAAACGGGAAGCATTAAAAGACATACTTATTATGTCTAACATTTTTATACAGGCTTTTTTGTCTCAGGATGTTGGAGGGGTGGGGCCCCAGTGCCCCGTATCAACCAGCCACCACTGGTTACCACTGACAAAACCCTGGAGACTATTTACAGAGATTATTGTGTCTGGAAGTGGACTGGATTCCTAAAGAGAACATGTTTGCACCCTGTTCACTACCAACAATGGCATCCAGAGAGCATGCTCTACATAGTGTATATTTCGACTGACAACCTGTACAACATGAGCCTTCAATACTCGCAAATGAAACTGAGAATATGTTTTCTTTATGTGAGCCACTGGAACTGAATGAATAGAGATACACTAGCTCTAGCTCACACTGGCTGCCACGGCCCTGTGCTCTGATTTAAAAACGTTTGAGGCATCATCTGGGAAAGAAAAGAAATGTAGAGTGATTTATTCTTCTCTTACTTGTGCTTTTCAAGCTGGCTAAAAACAGAACTTTTGCATTAACCTGCATTGTGTTGTCTTTCCAGCTGGTTCCATTTGCTTTTTGTTCGACTGTTCCAGGCTGTTCAGAAAAGGAACCCCCTATTGTGTTTTGAAATCTTTGTTGCACTGTACATTGCCAGCCTTTGTAGCCACATAGCACAATGCCAGTTTCAGATAGACTGGCTCAATTTGTGTGGTCAGCCTATTCTCCCTCACCACGCCCAACAGGATTAATTTCATCAACGCTTAAAATTAAAAATAGCCATGCAACCTGCATGGCAAGGTCTGGATGTAAAGATTTATTTTGGAAAGCTCAAGGTTACACCAAGGTGAGTCCTAATCACATTCTGTTACACTTTATTTTTATGTACTTTCCCCTATAGGTTAATGGTGTAAATGTAGCTTATGCATTTGTCTGAGAACAGTGTCTGTGAAAGACAGGATTGCCACAAAATTACACTTTAATATGTGCACAGTAGTGTTTGTGCTAACTGAGGACACACAGGGCATGTCCTCAGTAATCTTACTGGGATTGGATTTGGACTGAAGAACAGTTTACTCTTTATGATTTTAAAGTTTTACGTAACAAGTTTTGAAAAGGCTTATACCAATATTTGTTTGGTCTGTTTTCTTTAAAATTAAAACTTAATTTCACAGTGCAAATAAGGTTCTCAAAACGTGCTGACTGGTTTCTATTGATATTTAAATGTAAATACAAGGGTAGAGAAATACATGTATGTAAAATCATTTAGTAAATACTGCGACCTTGATGGTAGAGTGTAAGGACACAACACTAGTGTAAGGTATGTGGGCTTGGGATTGTTCTTTCTTTTTTTTTTTTACTCATACAACAAACTTGTCATACAGTTCTATAGAAGTGTTACAATATATCAATACTATTATAATTCTCTGCTAGGTTTTAATATTTAATAAAGTAGAGAAAGCTCTAATCTAATTAACAACAATTAAACTCTTGAGGAGCTTAAAAAAATCGAAATATCTCCAACTAAATCTAAAATGTAGTCATGATAGAGAGTGTGGGAGTGGGTGAACGACAACTGTACTGTTAAATGATATGAGTGGTCATCAAGATAAAGATCAGAAACCTGGTAGTTAACAAATATTTAAAAAATAGTATGCTTCTAGGAGATAGCATGCTTCTAGGAGAGGTACACTGCTGTCAGCTCTAATTTAAGGTTCAGTGTCTTGCCCACTCCAGCATGCAGACTGGGGGATCAAACCATCCACCTTATGGTGAGAGGATGATCCACTCTACCTCCTGAACCACAGTAACCCATGTCTGCCATCAAACAGCAAGAAAACGGAAATCACATTACTTAACTTGTCCTATTGTAACATTGATGTACTTTCTATCTCTGAGGTTCCACCATGGGCGACTGGTCCATACTTGGTCGCTTCCTGTCTGAGGTCCAGAACCACTCTACAGTGATAGGCAAGATATG